ATTATCTTCATTACTATTTTCATCATCAACATCACCCACATTATCACCTTTTTAGGTAATTTTTTATATGATTATGAATACGAACTGTACAAATTTTCTCTTCAACAATTATCTACATGTTTTTGTTAAGCCTAGAAAGCAATTAAGAATATATAACCTTTAATAAAAATAATCATCATCTTCGCTGGCGTCATTGTCATCACTATCAACATCTTCATCATCGCTATAAGGCTGCATAATTAACAACTGTTGTGCTTCTTTCGTCAAATCCTGCAATTTTGTTTGGGGTAGTTTTCTCATACTTGATACAACAGGGTCGGAACTAATCAAAAGTCTATTGAATATATCTTCATTCGTCTTTTTTTCTGTTGCACTTGCGAGAAAAATGTTCTCTGTAGCTCTTAAAATCTTAAATCTTAAAAAATTTGAGTAGCATAAGCTAATAGAGAGGTTTCGTCTCTTAAAACTTTGCTTTTTTTCGCTTCGTTCTTTCACTGGCTTCATCAAATAAAGCTTCTGTGCAACCACGTTTGTTTTGTTTTGAACACGGAAAACCTATAGAGGACTCAAGCCAACTTTTGTTTGCTTTAAAAAAACGTTCTTCGTGTCTACAGGACCTATTCCAACGAACTTTGAACTCAGAGATGAAATATCTCATCTTTTCATTAAACTCTTTTAGATTTTCATCAGACGGCCTGATGCGATCTTTCATTTGTCCCGTTAAAACCTTAAATTTATCATTGAATTGATCGCAGCGAGAGTTTTTCATTATTTCATAAAGGCTTTGACGAGTAACCCATATGATATTTGAGCTCGTTCCTATAAAGAAAATAATAATATAATTAGGCCTTTATAGTTATGGTTATTCTCCGTTTACCCGTCTACCCGTAACCATATTAGTTAAAAATATCATCACTATCATTATTTCTATTTACTGCACATGACATTCATGCATAGAAATAGCAACACTATAAACAATAACAAAGATTATAATTAACACTAAAAATATGCATCATGTACCATTCTTTACGGTTTCACATATACCCTATAAATCATTGGGCAAATAAATTACGTCATTCTAAGCTATTATTGTAAAATTTCATAAACCCAAATTTTATTTTATGAGTCTAAGCAGATATGTATGTACATAAATGTATACATACTTTCTTTGATACATGCAGGTACTAAAAGTTTCGCCTTTGAAACAAAACAGTATTTAGCCTACTTTTGATAATAGACGTATGTACCTAATAGTTATGCCGTATGTAGGGTATAAAAAACAGTAATTGAGCAAACAAAGAACGTGGACAATAACAATATTACTTTTTTTGTATGCTTTGTACTTAGTTTTCACTTGTTATATTTGGTGTTATTCTTCATCGAGAATTTCATGTATATTTCACCAAC